ACCTTGTGAAAGAGTAAAGCTGATTTGAAATTTGAGTTTTTCTTAGCCACAAAATGAAGCTATGGTCTATATCATGTACTCTTTTTTTGCAAGTTGGACCATTAACTTTATAGTGATTTTGAAAGCTGCCTTACCGGTAGCTGTTTTCTAATTCGTAGTTTCTATGTTCACCTTGTTCAAAATCCTGCAGTTCCTATAAAACCATGGGTGCTTTAATTTGAAATGTCAAACATCAAAAAAATTAGTCATGCTTTGAATCGCGGAATCGTAAATCTCATTTTGCTGGAAAAATTCTCTTACTCATAATTTTTGAAAAAATTCGAAGCTACTGCTATATTTTCTACATTTTCTACTCTTACGTATGAGCCTCCTGACAGTTTCGTTGATTTCCTGCAAATACCCCCAAATTAGCGTGAAAAAAACCTGCTCGCATTTTCTATAGTGCATGAAATTGTCGTTTTATGGTCGCGCGTAGAGCTATTGAAAACCAGAATTAGCGAAAAGTGCGTGAATTGTAGGCAAACTTCTACTGTTTGGGTCCTTCATTACTGAACTGGTATCCCATCTTCTGAATATGTGATCAATGGCTTGTTTTTGATTCCGCGCACGCTTGTTTTCCTCCGCTTTTCGTGTTTTTGCGATCGCTTTGTTTCAAATTCGGTAAGGTGTTTCTCAAACCGGATTGGCTAAGTATAGTGGTGGATGCTTTTAAGCCCGTGGAGCTAGCTAATATCTTCTTAAGTACGGAAGAAGTATGGTATGGCACAAATTACAGCTATTGTAGTGCTTTTATTTGCTGACAACATTTGCGCGTATAAAATGGTCATGGTGCGCGAAAATTGGAATTGCGCCCTCCATGGCCATTTTTCCCGCTCAAATTTTGCGCAAGCCGCAGGAGTGCTATAACTAGCGTCAAGCTGACTAAACTATTCCACTGCTGTCCTTGACTACCCCCCCCCCCGCTTTACGCATTTATATCTTTCGCAGAAGTTTCTTCAAATAAATCTCCCCCCCCCCTTTCTAATGGCGCGAGCCATAATGCACCCACGCACTAACCAAATCTCATTCACATTCCATGCTACGGGTCTCTCTTCACCAATTCAATGACGTTCTTTCTCTTTCATATGCGCTGCGAAAGGGTCGCAGGTGAAATTGCCCGCATAGTGGCATTGGGGCGTAGGTAAAACTGGCTCATAACCTGTTCACCCCTTTGTATGCCATGAGTTTTCATTGCACATCAGATTGCGCTTGTAGTCGTGAGAGCTTGTGTGCGAACGCTTGAAATTTGGTCTTTCATTTTAGTAAACAGGTGCTTTGCATTACTTCCTTGCAGTTCAGGTGTCTGATTGGCGAAAACTATACATTGGACTAGAGATCTTCATATTTCATGGCTGCAGCCTACTTAGTTATCGAATGCGGATTCTATTCACTATGTATCTAGATTTGTAAACATATAAGAATTACAAGTGTAAATGCTCTTTATTTTTGGTTTTTTTGAATTCAAAGATTATTACTATTTTTCACTATTTTTGTTTTTTATTCGATCTTGTGAGCTTATGATTGCATCTATCACTTGCACTACTCATAGATTTTATTTCTTTATGACTACGATCAAAAATAGTACAATCACTAGGCTTCACTTGCTTTATAATGTTACTGCTTGAAATTCAAGGTTAGTGGTATTTTCTTCAGCAAAAAAAAAACAGGCCAAAGGACTGATTGCTTTGACTTGATTTTCCTCTTCGCATTCCACGAACAAATCCGAATCTTTCCACCTTTCCCCCTTCCCAATACTTACAAATATCAAATTTTCCAATGATCAGATAAAAATCCATCTCAACCTTTTCTATGCTCGCCACTTGAACTTCGCAGCTGAACAAAATAAGGATTAAAAACTGTTGCTGTCGTTACCACTTATGTATGTCGTTATGACCGCAGCCAAACGATGTGGTGGATTATGTAGGCAATCTTTCCACATGTGTTCACTTGATAGAACAAATTATGATAGTCATACTTTTTCGATCTTCTTTAGCGATTTTAACTTCCAAATCTCATGCATAAATGATCATATCTTTTTATTGACATCACATGACGTACTTTATCCTGAAGACTTTTATAAGATAAGTATGGCATTATATTCATTTTTTCGAGCATAAAAATCAAGTTCGCATACAATACACTTTGCCCGCACTACTATTCTCCACTTTCATATCGCTGCTCCCTCTCACAAAGGAGGTGATCTTTGTAATGGAACATCAATCCTTTTCCCAAGACCACTTAGCTTCCATAGTCATCCTATTCATATAACTGAGATAAAACACATTAGCGCGCATTTACGGTCGCAGCCCATTTATCCATTGTTTGTCTTTGGTAGGTGATGCTAATAGCTGATCTACATTCGTTTACTACAGCTTTCGCCTTCATCATCGAACTTTTACTTATCCATTAAGCACAAACCAAAGCTCTTCCACTAATCTAGTCACATTGCTCTTATAGGAACCTCCTGTTATCGTAATCTCCTTTTAGTTCAACTAAGTTTTCATTGAGAGGTAAGAGCCTGAGGAATTTGAGCTTAAAATATTACCCCGTTAATTAATTGTTTGTATAATATTTGCTCCAGAATAATCGGCTAGGCTTGTAAAAATTTAAACACCATTTCGTTTTGATTATAATTCTAAGTACAATATTCTGTCAGGTTACTGCCCTTAAATTCCTCTAAAAATGTCAGTAATTTTTGGTCCGAAGAAGACCAGTCGTTGATAGTCGGCCTGTATATCCCGCATATTGTTTGCTACCGCCATTTCATGGCGGCTGTACAAATTCGGCCCCTTCTATTTTAGCTATCATAACCATTGAGTCTCAAGATCAAGTCCAACACCATATCTTGAAATAGAAATGTTCATTTTCGGCATGTTCAAAGGACCGGGCATACTTCACGCGATTTCAGTCCCGACGCGATTTGACAAGTCGCCAGAAGTCTTTAGATCCAACACTGGCATCCCGCACATGCATATTGTGTACTAATTACGTGAATTGATAAGATCGCCTATCTTCCGTACATTCAAAATGTGCTTACAGTGAGTTATGGACAGTGGGAATATTGCCAAGTCGCGTCGCGACTGAAATCGCGTGAAGTACGCCCTTCCCTTGAGAAAAAATTAGGTGTTTGAGCGAATCATATGTTCAAACTTTTGATATTCTTCAAAAGCGTGTTCTGTATTCTTTCTCTTGCTGAATACTACCTTATACTTACTCCCACTCCCCCCCCCCCCTCCTTCCACCCTCTGATGTCAATTCTTTGCATTCACCTTGCCAGCTGCAGCATGTCGAATTGCTTTTATACATGGCGGGGGCTTGTCTCTCTCTGCTGTAATGTCCTCTTTGTGACAATTGAAATTCTTCGATCGCTGTGAATGCTGACAAGTTCCTTCTTTTTACGCCATGTTATCGCTCTAGATTCCGGATGTTCGCATGAATGCGCTAGAGCCACTTCCATCAAACCATGCACTTTTCAGTTTTTGGACACCCAGTAAAAAGGTTTGCATTCTGCAGGCTAGCCACACTTTAAAGCTGAGTGTTCAAAGCCGCGTCTATCTGCCAGTGCCTTTGACAAACTTTTCTTGGATTTTTGTATATGCAAGTATACGTTCCTAGGAACGCTAAAATTTCGTTCTATTTAGACAGGTACGAAGGTAATCATCTTATATATAAAGCTGAATGTCTGTTTGTCTGTCTGTCTGTATGTCTGTCTGTCTGTATGTATGTACGTATGTTCCGAATACAAATTTTTATTTCTGAACCGATCGGGACCAAACTTGGCACACATATACTTCAGGGCAGGGAGCGTGTCATAGGCTACTTTTCGTTATCGATCGATATCGATTTTATTGATTTTTTGCAAAATTCGAGCTAGAGGGCTGGGATTTGGCAGAGGGGGGTAATCGAGCATGCTGATCACCCCGAAGGGGGTGATCAGCATGCTCGATTACCCCCCTGTGCAAAATCCTAGCCCCCTAGCTCAAATTTTGCAAAAAATCGGTAAAATCGACATCGATCGATAACGAAAAGTGGGCTGTGACACGCTCCCTGCCCCGAAGTGTATGTGTGCAAAGTTCGGTCCCAATCGGTTCAGAGATAAAAATTTCTATTCGGAACATACGTACATGGGTCTAGCTGGCAGGCCCGGCGGAGCCGGGCAAGCCAGCTAGTATGAAATATTGCGCAATACTTGGATAAAAGAAGTTGATTTGAACATTTTTGCTGCTTAACAACGGACAGAAGAATGTGTAAGAATTTGACCTAATACGGGTTCCCAAATTGAGACATAATTCTAAGTAGATTGCTTTGGCAATTCGCGGCCGCTAAATATTCATGAACAAAATGATTTCACTCCATTTGTTAACGATGAGAATTTTACATAATCCATTTTCCTATTAACAGTACGAACTTTGACTTCTTCAGCTCCACCTCATTTTGATTAACATCATCTTCCAGAGCAGTCTTACATAATTCAAATGAGTTGGTCTTTGTAAGGTTTCGCAAAACGATCTTGATATTTTTTTTAAATCAACCAAATTCATCCTTTTGAGCTTTGAATTTTTATCTACGCTTTTCTGAACTTCACGCTTCAGCTGATTTTTTCTGTTGGCCTTTCTTCGTTTTTCAAATTCTTAATTAATCTTGTCCCAAAGCCTCTCACTTGTAGGTTCCAGAAATTGCTCTGCCAGATTACCTGTTTCTTTTCTCAATTTTGTTCCAAAACTTGAGCATCTTGTCAAGTTCTTTTTTGTCTTTTTTTATGAACAGCACCAATTTACATAAAATGCATCACTTTTTCCACGAACTTTCAGTACATACTGTCCAATTCAAACCACGTGAACTCCTCTTTTTCGTTCTGTAGCAGTATATCGATTCCCCAATATACTTTCAGCTTCTTATTCTCAGATGCCAGACGTAGCAGACGCCAAATAATGAGAGTCCATAATATCTCGTTCTTTCAGATCAATGATTGTGCGACGATGACTTTGTTTGACACCTTGGTGAAGCTTCTTACTGACTCTCTGCTAAATTGCACAAATGCGGCTGAAATACCTCATGCCAGCGAATTTTTATCTCGTGAGTTTTCTCAAAATTGGAAAGAGAATTTGTTTTGCTACTGTGCATAACTTGAACAAACAAGTATTAGGTTGTCCGGAAAATAATGTCGCTCTTCTTTTAACATGCAATATCGCAGCAGGGTGCGCACGAAAGTAAGTGAGTGGGATATCAACCGATAGATCAGAGCAAGCTCTACAAAATGAAGCTCGAAGCTTTGCGTCAGGTATTTGCGTGAAGTTTGGAGCCAAATTTCATAAGGGCACTCGAGATCTAAAAAGACGAAAAAAGTTGTATCTCCTTTCGGAAACGTCCTGGGAACGTCCCCCTAACTTGCTCACGCATGGACTCACTATACGAGACACTCGTATGCACATTTTCGCGGTTTTTCCATGGCTAAATTTTGAGAAAACGAAAATCGGCATGTTTCTGCAAAACAATCCTGAGATTCTCTCACATGGGTGATTCTGTAGCACGAACCTTTAGGAGTATAACCATGAATTTTCAGCTTTAGACAAGCGCTAGGTTTCGAGAAAAATCAAATTGTTTGCAAAAAACCTGAAAAACGCGACATATTCGCACTTTTGACCTCCTTTTATTTTTCGTGCCGTAGCCATGGAAAAATACCACAAACTGTACAGGTGAATGTCTAGTGTAGAGAGTACATGCCTGTGCAAATTGAAGATCCATAAGACGTCTATGGACGGAGATACGATTTTCGGGTACTTCAGGTGGAGCACGATTTCCGCGGAGGTTTGTAGACTATCTTGTAGAGCTTACTTTGCTCTATCAAATGATATCCCATTCGCTGTTTTTTGTGATCATTCTGTCGCGGTAGGATGCCATGCGACATTATTTTCCCGACAACCTAATATTCTTATATATAAAGCTGAATGTCTGTTTGTCTGTATGTATGTCTGTCTGTATGTCTGTACGTATGTTCCGAATAGAAAATTCCATTCCTGAACCGATCCGGACCAAACTTGGCACACATACGCTACGGGCCCCGGCGGGTGTCATAGGCTACTTTTCGTCATTGATCGATATCGATTTTATCGATTTTTATCGATTTTTTTGCTGAGTTCACCTACGGGGCTGGGAGGTGGCACAGGGGGGTAATCGAGCATGGGGATTCCGAATACAATATTGGTTTTCAGGATTATCGATTACTTTTATCGGTTTTATCGATTTTTCTGCAAAGTTTGAGCTACGGGGCTGGGAGTTGGCACAGGGGGGTAATCGAGCATGGGGATTCCGAATACAATATTGGTTTTCAGGATTATCGATTACTTTTATCGATTTTATCGATTTTTCTGCAAAGTTTGAGCTACGGGGCTGGGAGTTGGCACAGGGGGGTAATCGAGCATGGGGATTCCGAATACAATATTGGTTTTCAGGATTATCGATTACTTTTATCGATTTTATCGATTTTTTTGCAAAGTTTGAGCTACGGGGCTGGGAGTTCGCACAGGGGGGTAATCGAGCATGCTGATCATCCCCAAGGGGGGTGATCAGCATGCTCGATTACACCCCTGTGCCAAATTCCAGCCCCCTAGCTCAAATTTTCAAAAAATTGATAAAGATAAAAGTAATGGACGATCTTGAAAACTAATATTGTGTTCGTAATCAGCATGCTCGATTACCCCCCTGTGCAAAATCCCAGCCTCGCATGTCAAAATTTACAAAAAATCGATAAAATCAATAAAAGTAATCGATAATTCTGAAAACTAATATTGTATTCGGAATCCCCATGCTCACTTCCCCCCCCCCTGTGCCAACTCCTAGCCCTGTAGGTGAACTCTGCAAAAAATCGATAAAAATCGGTAAAATCGACATCGATCGATAACGAAAAGTGGACTGTGACACCCGCCGGGGCCCGAAGTGTATGTGTGCCAAGTTTGGTCCGGATACGGCGGAGCCGGGTAAGCCAGCTAGTAAAAAGTAAACACGAATGGATTTCGATGATATCAAGCTTAGTGCAAAGCGTACGCGCTCTGTGATGTGTAGAAAATTTCCTGAGTTTTAAGAAAGGGTGTTACGATGGCATACTGTATGTTAATGAAAAACCGGCATACTACTTGCCTTCCAGTTTTACACATATTTTTTAGTTTTTGAGTTGTAGCAGACGCCAAATAATGGAAATCCATAATATCGCAAAATCTTGTAGTCTTCAAAACTCTTTCGATGCTTTACATTCTATAGAGAAAGCCAGTTGATATTTTCGTGGATGATGTTTTTCAAAGATTCTGTCTAATATATCGAGCGTTCCGAAAAAAAAGGAAGCGGCCAAAAAGCATAGAGAAAAATATTCTGACATTACTGCTATGTAACACTGCTCTATCAGATTATTCCCTGGAAAACCAAGAACGAAACGAAAAAATGGTCGAATTGGCCTCTATAATTTGTTAGATATAATCTAAGCTGTAAATCAGATGCTTTTCTTTCACCTACCTATAACCTCATTTTTGAAGATCTGCCGACATCCTTCGTCTTCGGATTGGTCTTGGCTACCATAGTAAGTATGGCCACTGCGGCACTTGGTGTTCTTCACATCCTGTACATCTCTGTATACATCACACAGTCAGATAGGCGACTGTTTATTCTGTTCTTAGCAAGCACAGCACCGGTAAGTTTATACATATTACCGCAAGACTACCTTTATGAACTCATAACCGCATCTTTTAGTTCGTCTCTTTACTTTCTCTGGTCGCCATGTATATGCCTCGGGTATGGTTCTTGTCTCATCTGATTAGCTTTCTGTAAGTTTGCCATACTTGAAAAGGCTCAATTTGGCTAAGAATACATTTTTAGGTATTTTTCCATCGCACTTTGGGTCATCATCTGTCTTCTCATGCAGATTTTCGAAGGACATCACTCGTTAGTCAGTAAAATGAGTGAACATCTTCAGCACATTGAAGTCGCTACGCCACCATTTTGTTGTGTATTTCCGTGTTTACCAAAGATTCAGCTTGAAAGGTATGATTTTTCAAGCATTTCAAGATGATATTTCATCTAGGGAACATTGCTCGACTCATTGATTAGCGTTATCTCTGAATTAAACGAATTATTTTATTCCGATATTTTCAGCAGAAAAGTTCGTATCTGTGAGTGGATGGTTCTACAAGCTCCTTGTGTTCGTCTTTTTGCAACGCTAGCAAGTCTAGTGATTTACTTCGAGTACCAAGACAAAGGATTGATGTAAGTCACTTAGTCTCTATCTCGAACTGAGCTAGGAACTTTATGCACGATTTCATATCTAGCTCTTTGTTTAGTAACAAGAAGAGCAGAAACGAGTAGGGCACATTATCACATTAATTTTCTCTGATGAGCAAAAAAGCTTGCACTGGATGAAAACTGAAATAAATTCCTCGATAACTCTTACAAGTGAAGGATGCTGAAAGTGGGATTTCCATATTAGACGTTTAGCGTTTTATAGAGCATGAAACGCTGATTCCAAATCTGAATTCGTCTGCAAAACACTTCTGAGAGGGGAATTGTGGGGATTTCTTGAGACAAAAATTCGAAGGTTCGGGTAAGGTAAAAACACGTGTTGAGGTCTTTCCGGCACTTGTGAGGATAAAAGACTAGCATGAGCTTATTAGACTGAATGTACTTATTGCATGAAGCGTCCTGGAAGAAATCATGGACCAATTTGAGCTCAAGGATTACAGTTGTGAATGATTCTATTGTAGTGGCGAGTTCCAGTTTTTGCATCAAAAAATTCTCATAAATCCCACTCCAGAAGCGCTTTGCAAATACCGAAAGCAGATTTGAAAACAGCGTTCCATGCTCTATAAGATAGTATACATTTCATATGGAAACGCCACTTCGACCAAGTATCCTTCCCTTGTTAGAAGGAAGTTTTTGCAGCAATGATTTCTCCTCATCTAATGAACACTCCACTCATATTTGTGCGCATCTTCAGTCGAAGGACGAGTGTCCATTGACCTCAAAAACGCTTCGGCTGAAGGATGCCCACAAGTGAACAGCAAGCCTTGACCAACTCTGCAAACATACATGCATCAAAAATTAGTGGGAAATTTTGAGAAATTATGACAGGATGACACAAACAAAAGAGGAGTCTGAGGCAAAAAATGAATAATGATGTATCGCACAATTCTATGAAAAGAAAACCCTGATTGTTTAATTTCACTGCTGATCATGTCAAGTTGAGACAAAGTCGACCACATGGACTCGAGAAGAAAAATCTGACAAGCGGATTAATGGATAGATTTTATTGATAAATTGAAATAATTATTTCGCCACATTTGCTGTTTCTAGTTTTCTAATGAGAAGATTAGAGCGGCAAGCTTCTTACCATTTTGATGTTGTTATAAAACCAAAGAGCAGAATGGTATTGGCTAGAGGCCCAGAATATCTGAGCTTGAAATCTTGCAATGGATTTAGTCAATTCCAACATATTCTACCTATATCACTTTGGAATGATGAAACGACTTATTCTAGACCATTAAAAGTTCTGGACTTCATAACTTTACCTTCGCTTCTGGCTGGTATATATGGTACCCACATTTTAGTGACTACAGTGTCACGATTGGTAAGTGCACGTTTAAATTTTTTTTTCTTTCTGGTTTTTTGAATTACACAAATTAGAAATGTGTCAACATATTTTAGGATGAACTGATTTCGTACCGCTACATCGTAGTTTTTCGTATTCTGGACTTATTCTTCATGTTCTTTGGGCTGCAACAACCAGTGTTTGACTTTTTGGCACGATACGGTGCATTTGGATGTGGGACGGTCTTGCCGGCTATAGAAACATCTTTCTGTAAGTTTTCAGTTGCATGTGGGCGTGAATGCACCATCCACTCGAATCCAAGATTGGTGAGATTCTGATGCAGTGCAATAGCGAGGTTTATAACCAGAGTAAATGTCCAAATCGAGTGCAAAAGGTCTATTCTAGAGCAAGAACACCGCTGCAGGAAGGGTTGCTGTTTGGATCGCTACTAATATCAAAATGGTAGCCCAAGAGTAATAAGCGAAACCAAAATCAATAGCACCTGGAAATGTGAAAAATCCACCTTTAGATTTGAAATACACATTCTCTACATCTCTAGGTGAACTGAATTCTGGCTTAGGGCTCATTAGTTCGAGACCATATGCAGTCCGGTCATTTAACTCCCTTTCCCCGTAAACGCAATGAGCTTCGCGCCACGTTCGCGCGCGTATGACTAGGCCATTCAAATGGGCCTCATCGATTGGAGTCCGCACGCGGACCCTTGCGTTGCGCATGCTCAATTTCCATGCGGAAGGAAATACCTAATTGACATTAACTGCATGTTGATGGGCGTAGCGACCCCAGCAGCATCCACGTTCTGGACCCGGTTTTCTAGCTTCTGACACCTTTTGCAGCGGGACTATGAGCAATTACCTATTCAGGGGCCTCTCTATTGTCCTGCGTCAAGATCTCACCAGTTTCAATTTTTGGACAGTGTCTTCAAATTCGCTGTAGAGATCACCATAAATGATTATTTTCAGTCTGGAAGAACTTCTTTACTGTGATCGAATCATTCTTTGTGACACTGATATCGACGATACTACTTCAACCATCCAAGTCATCGTTCTTCGACAAACATCCGAGTTGTCGTTCTATCACATCGTCCCGTAACAGCCACACAAATGAGACGCCTATTTAAATAAGCACTATCCTATACAAATGCCTTTGTTTGTTCGAATCAAATGCAATTTCCAGCATTTCCTTTCAGTCCTTAGTTTTAACTCTTCTTATACCAGTGTTATGTCACCAATAAGCTGAGATATGTCAGAGCTTATTGATTTTCTTACGTTTGTTGAGTATCTCCGAGGTTTCCTTAATATTATTTTCGTAGTTGTGCTTCCCTATCTGATGACTCAATGGTATCCTTCCGCAGGTTTGTGAGGAATTTCGCTAGTCAAGTGTCTTTTGATTTCCGATCAAATATGGTCTTTTGTACCCGAAATGATTTTGTTCATCGGCCATAAATTAAAACTCCATTTCCTTTATTGTGGGTACAAATCACCCCCCCCCCCCCTCTCCCTCCCGCTCCGCCCTTCTTGGATGGTGTTGTAAGTTCTCTAACCTAAATGGCCTTCTGCAGTGCGGTGACTGGTGTCCCACTCCCAGTTGCCACATTTTTACACTGCGGGGTACTGATAAACATGTTTTTGGTCCACATGAAAAATTGTCTGAAATATCGATCGCGGCGACAACAGAAATGGAGTTTTGCAATTTCGCAACACGGTTGTTGTGCCAAGCACGCGGGGCGGGGTTTCCGTGAGGCGCGTGCTTGGCACTGTTTTGACCATTCCGGTCTTTCGTCAGCTAAGGACCCTCCCACCCACCCGGAGTTGGGACTGCTGACGTCACGGGCAGAAACCGCATGATTAGGACTTGGAGATCCTTGCAGGAATGTCAAAAATAGCGTCGGTGACGATTGGATAGCAGCGCTGTCGAGAAGAAATGGGCAAGTCGCGCTGAGCCGCTTTCCAGAAGAGAAATGGTACCGCCAAAGGACTCGTGATAATTCCGAGAAACGCGTACACGCGTTATGGTATTCGTTTTACGGACTTGTACCGCTTTCATCCTGAGGGTTGAGAACTATTCACTCTGTCATTTATGACTAAAGAGTGTAGTCCTTCGAAGGGCCGAATATTTTAGGTTTTAGATAACAGATCCGACTATGGATTGGCATCGCGTGGCAATGCGATACAGACAAGACGCAGGATACCACGACGACCCGCTTTCAACAAGTTGATGCATCTGCGAGATGGGCAAATGGCGGCTTTGCATATGCACTCGTAGATGGAGCTTTTTATGTACTCCGACCATGACGTGTAGTCTATCGCGCATACTTGTCACCACCGAACGCATTGAAATGTTAGCGATTCGCAGTCTTCCGGTAATTCCTGTGGTTATTGAAGGCAAATGATTGTTCGAGATGTTCCATAGGTTGGGGCGTAATCACAATGTTTTGACTTGTTACTAGATCTATGTTTGTTGGTTATGCAGCGGCATATGTATTAGACTCTTATGTGTCACAGTATATGCTAGTTGAAGCTAGTTTCTTGGTTGGAATATGCAATTCCAGATTGGAGGCTCACGCACAGAGAGCTGCCTCGAATCCAAGTATGATCACCCATTCTCAGCATGAATGTGTTATCTCGTTTCTGTACAGAAATACCTTTTTTCAGGTTGTTTTTGGCCGGTCAGTTAGATTGCAGGAATTCTAATCGTTTTAGCAGTTTTGCTTGATGTCGAGACGCAGACTAATTAGAGTCCGACAGTCCCCTCGCCGACTGGGCGGTGCCACCAACTTCAGATGAGCTGGCACTCCCCGGGTGCTCGGTGGTCCCCTCCCCAACTATGTCCCCCATATTTATATTTATGTTATAACGATAAAAGAATCTAGTCAAGAACTGTTATGTTAAACCAAAGGAAAGAAACTAAGGGTAGAGGGATCAAGTTAAGAGAATAGCTAACTCTACAACTTGACATGGAGGTCCCGGGTTTTTCTGAACTTTTTGTCGCATAACTTTTTTCACTAAAAAAAATCTAAGCATAGATTAGGCCAATCTCTGCTGAATATTCTCACCACCGGCACCAGCCCTCATCTCCTACGTGAATTACGTAGCCCTTTTTTTTTTATATTTACCCTTTCTTTTATCTTTTCCCTTGAGTCCAGGCGATGGGTCTGAGTGTGTTTTTTCTTATTTTGTCATATTTTTTCGTGTCATAGTGGGTAATGAATATAATCATGTATTCTTTACCTACTGTGTGTTTGACAGTCTTTTTTTGTTTCATAGCAGATAATGAATATATTACTATATTGAATATGGTATATGATATTTTTTGTCTGCTGTGATTCCTTACAGTTTTTACCGTGATACCACGTGAAGAACCGTAAATATTTACTCTTTCTTCCTCTAGCCCCCTTTCCCCACCCTATTTATTTAGAAACAAATCTAAAACTTTCTTTTTTTCAAAACATATTTTACCTTGTAACTTCCACATTGTAAAATTCATTTTCACAACCATTTTTCACCATATTTCGCCTACAACTTTACACATTATTCTCAGTCATTTATTTTCTTCTTTTTCACTTTCCATCGTTATTTTTTAAACACAAACTCAGGGACTCTATCGCCAACGCCGGCACTGTACATATGTATAAAATTTTTATAATTGTGTTTAATTGCCATAGCCGTTTTGTAATTGCCGCAGTTCCACAGGCGATCTAGACGCCTGTGGATAGTCCGTTGGCTATGTTGCCTATAGTGATTCCATAGGCTATGTAATAGCCCATGGGGTTACCTAAGGCCCCTTTCTCAGTCATGCCGATTGAGAGCGTCATTATGTAATCTTGAGTGGCATATAGGCGCCAGGAGCTATCCTAAGCTCGGCGAAATTCGTTTCAAGCAGTAATACAATACTGCCTAGTCTGCGCTTAGGTCAGTTTCGCCTAATTACTTATCTGTAAAACGATTATGCAGCTCTGGACCAGATGATTCTCTACTACTGAAGCGAGTTGGATATTTACTGATCATCTTTATCCAACTTCGTCACAGAGGTATTCATTTATTAGCTTTCAGTGTTTTATTATTTGTGCATTCATACAATTTTGTGCAATTTTGTTATTTATCTACTCTAACAAAACGAGAAAAAAATCATTTTATGGTTGCAAAACAGATTTCCAGAAAAGGTTCCAGCCTAATCTCAGACGTTCAGAGCGTCTGAGACAAGCAACGGATTGGTCTCCCTCATAATGAGTGAGAAGTGCCAGTAGCAACCTTACAAATCTCATTCACGCAGCAGCTATTGACACTTGTAAGTTTGCCCGCAAGCCATCGCACTATGAAAAGAAAGAATTCTCTGATTGGCGGCTCGGAGAAGGCTTTCAGTAAATCACTTCTCACCCCCGCCCTTGTAATCAACGTTAGGGAAGTGTTCCCTCCCGAGTTGCTTGCAAGTTGTTCAAAATTTGTCAAATTATATTGTAGAATCATACGTCCATATCATAGCTTAGCATGCTCTGTAACGACAAATGTTTGGAATATAATTTCCGTTCCTTCGTCGTCTTCGAACATACTTTATTCTGCTATCTGCTGTCAATTTATGTGTTTTTCCATGCCAGTAATCTCGTTTCCTACAACAATGCTCACTATTATCTTTACGGATGTCATCATATACCCGTATGTCACATATCGTCACTAGGGCTTTGTCCGCCTCCCTATACCCTCTGCCACATTTTACCACCATGCGGAAGCCCCTATCCGCCTACCCAAACTACTACGGAAGCCTCATCCGTACCCCGATTTGCTCATCCTCCAAATCATCTCATCATTCGTCCATGTTGCTTCAATTCTTCAGCTCGAGACGAGCTAATTCTTCTGACGGGGCGTGCGAAAGCGTGCCTTCTCATCCCTTTCCCCCTGTCCTTGTGAAGAAAAATCCAGCGACTAATGCCTGAAGCAAGTCTGCCCTCAACCAAAGCAGCAAGTGGTAAAAGGGGCAACATCAACTACACGTATGGGCAACGTCAACTGTACATGTGGGCAACGTCCAACTCAATGATGACATCGCAACCATGCATATGGCAACTCCCCAGCGAAGCCACTGATGACAACTCAATAACCATGGCCAACCTCAAAAGCTCGAGGACGAGCTTTGCCATGGAACGGACATGTCGAGACGCAGACTAATTAGAGTCCGACAGTCCCCTCGCCGACTGGGCGGTGCCACCAACTTCAGATGAGCTGGCACTCCCCGGGTGCTCGGTGGTCCCCTCCCCAACTATGTCCCCCATATTTATATTTATGTTATAACGATAAAAGAATCTAGTCAAGAACTGTTATGTTAAACCAAAGGAAAGAAACTAAGGGTAGAGGGATCAAGTTAAGAGAATAGCTAACTCTACAACTTGACATTGACGAGATCAACCGCGCTGCCGTTACCATCTAGTCCTGCCTGCCCTCGGGCTTTACAGGTTCCGCTTGTGTTGCGAGAGTGCAAAACAGAGGTTTTGCCGTAGTTTATCGGAGGCAAAACCTGCATTCTCCATCATTCAATTTCTAATGGCCGCTGCTGAACATAAGGTGCAATTATTGTGATGATTACAACGTGTTGTTGTTGAAGTAAACAATGAACAGCTGATTTACAAATATCATTCATTTTCCATGATGAACTCACAACAGCCAACACAAAGACATCCAGAAAAGACGATATTAAAATGACGGAAGTAAGCACAATGTGTCAATGACACCAACTTGACAAAAATTTCAACTCTAATCATATGTATATTTGTGCCATGAAACAATGATAACCGACTCGTATCCAATACATATAGATCATTTTCAAATAGTAACGACAAAATGGAAAAGAAAAGAATGTCTACATGCACCCCTTGTGAGTATTAACTTCAAGCTTAACTTAACGGTTGCCATTAGCTGCTCCGGAGCCGGGCTGTCCAGCGCCTCCTTGTTGTTGCTGCCAATAGCTGAAAGATTGATAATTTTCTGGAGATGATAGATGCTGAGTAAACTAATTAGAGTCAAAGTTGAATCATCCACACAAAGCTTTCAACGAGTTACTTGCAAATTTTTTTCATCAAATGCTTTCGGTTAATCTATTAACAAAAGTACGAAAAAAAATCACCTTGCCCATTGCTGCATGACCTGTGGATTACTGTAATATTGAGCGTAGTAGTTGTAGTACTGTTGTTGAGCCTGAGCAGCGGCTGCAGCAGCAGCTCCACCAGGTCCTCCAGTGGCAGCAGGTGGTCCATAGCTGCTACCAGTAGCTTGTCCACCATATCCATAAGCACCTTGTCCATAATTACTGTAGCCCTGATTACGTTTATCAGACTGAAATACACTATTGAGGTTCAGCAGTGATCGTGATTTGTATACTCACATCGCTAGTCTTTCCCCATGAGCACCTTATAGTATTTCCTCCAAGGTCACCGCCGTTCATTCTGAGGATTGCGCGACAAGCGCAGTCTTTCGAGTCAAATTTCACAAAGGCGTATCCTTGAACTTTGAAAATACGAACTTCGAGTATCCTGCCGAACTGCCCAAAAGCTTCACGAATATCCTCCTCTGAAATTAACAAATGAGAGGAACGCCGAAGAAAAATCCAATTAAAGAAAATACTAGCTAGTAGATCCTGGTAGGAAGCTGTACTGGGTCTAAATATCAACCAACACTTACCACAAACACCTCCTGCGACGTTTCCCACATAAACGGATGTATTGTCGGGTGTCGTCATATTAAAAATGTCCTCATAAGTCTTCTCGTTAGAAGCAGGCTGATCACCGCCTCCTTGCCCAGGCTTACGTGTAGCCCAATTTGTACGAATTGTGCGGCGCCCAAGCCACTGTCCATTCATTTGCTCAATGGCACGTTCTGCTTCCTGAAATTCAAGAAACTGCGGATTCTAAAAAACTCCCTGACAAACTAGCTCTGGGAAATTACTCACCTCTCGCTTTGGATATGAAACAAAACCGTATCCCTTGGACTTTAGCGTTGTTACATCACGAATGACCTTGGCATCACTATAATCTCAACTTAGCAACCATGGCAAATGAACGATGCCGATGCTAAGCGTTAAATAAAACCTCACCTTACATCTCCAAATGGAGCGAAAGCTTCTTTGAGGGCTTTGTTATCGACTTCTGGTGATAGATCCCCTACGAACACATGGAAGTGCTCTGCAAAAGCAGTGTTGGTAGTCAAAAGCATGACAAGTTGAGCCATTACACTTACTGCTAGTATCAACTTTTGGTTGCTGCTGTCCTGGCTCTACCGCCCAATTTACTTTCATTTCCTTGAATACAAACTTTTCAGTATAAACTTGAAACACTTATAGATAGCATACCTTGTCTAGTAGCATTCGTCGATTCATGGTCTGTAAGGCTTGAGCAGCCATGTTATGATCAGAAAACTCAACGAACGCATAAGGATCGTTGGTGCCCTGAAACAAAACAACATTTATCTCTGCAATTCCGCCATTCACATTTGGAAGGTCCAATAATCCCCCTTCCTAAACTTAGTCGTAAAAAGTGGCTAACTTAGCTCATGCGCGTCGCAAAAAAAACTACCCATGAAGAATGGAAAAAAGAATGGAGAAATATAAGGAAAATCATAATGAAAGCGTATGAGGTAAATGAATACTCTTTGAGGCCGCAGTTTGCGACGAGGTCGAAACTACGAGTACGTACGCTGGTTACCCATGCAGTCGGCGCACCTGCGAAAGGGACTCATTGTGGAAAGCCGGCAAAATCACAAAAGCAATCAAAAGAAATCGAAATTGAAAACAGCAAAAGTGCGCTAAGCGCTATGCCGAAAATAAAAGTTAAGGAAGATGAATTTACTTACCACACTCATTCGCTAAGCAGAAAAAGAAAAGAAAAGATTTAAAATAGACAAGAGAATGCTCAAATGATGCGCCTAATAATGAGCACCAAAGACAGCAAGTGCATCTGGCTTACTGGATATTTTAGCAGAGACTAAACTGGGCAAGATTAAGTGTGATAGATTTGCAGAACTTTCGTGCAACGACAGGCCAATCTTTTGCCTCGCAGTAGTCTCATTTAAGATCTACCTGAAAACGCATTAGTATCACATATAGACCATAAAACTCACGTCGAAAATCACTTTCGTCTTCGTTACTGTTCCAATCTGCCCAAACAATGTGCCAATGAACTCCTCTGTGACAGAAGGATCGAGATTTCCCACATAGCTGAAAAATGCACTGCAACGTCTATATATCAGAGGATCACATAAAAAGGATTACTGATGATGTCTAATACGATCCTCTAGCTATTTTTTGAGGGGCAGCGAGATTACGTAGCTTTTGTGGCAAAGCACGTCAAGCACACTCATAAGCTATCTCAATGGCATCAACTAAGTCTCGATGACTAACTGCCACACCAGCGACTCAATCATCAGATCTCTCACTCTGCCTTATCGCATCGCAAATGTACTATCTCGTCATTAGCCAAACCTTCGGTCGCTGCTCAGGCGTGAAAATACCAGTGGATACATTAGGGAAGCGATGCGAGGTTCGAGCGAGGCCACCGCAAGGATCAGAGCCGGTGAAACGGTGACACAGTAGTTGTAATGGCCTATATCATGTTCAAAATTCAATCAATAATTCATCAATAGGAGTGATTCTACTGACAAAAAAAACCTTCCACATTAACTCGTAGAAACCTATTCAATCGCAATTTCGATACATAGAGATGCAAGTTCCATAAAAAATGAAATAAAAGAGTAATTTTGAGTACGTAATAGTCATTTCTGAACTCTCTCACTCAATTACGCCTCTCATCTAGGACCTGATACATCTCAGGTTATCCCACTGGCGTACATCAAATGCATCCGTCATTACTACTCACATGGACCAAAATCATTCCAAATTCGAAGGTGTCGAACATTTCTCTAAGGCTTTGGCCATACTTCGCCCGTGTTGCCGGTGTTGAAAGTGTTGAAAGTGTTGCCAGTGTTGAAAGTGTTGAAAGTGTTGCCGGTGTTGAAAGTGTTGAACGGAGATCATCAGGCTAGCAGTTTCATTCTTTCTCGAACGATCTCACCGGCTGGTGAATACGTTGGAAATGGAATTGGGGAATGAGAAATGAAACTGAAATGAGATGAGGAATGTTTTCGCATGCAAAAGATCCTCAAACAAACTTTTGGAAAATGGACGGCTTGTCTGGAATAGGCAATCTCCAGTATTTAAGAAAGCTGAAGTTTGAGTAGCAATGTGTTTTAGTTCGAATCCTGCCGCGCTTGTGATTAATGAGTAAAGGATCTAAGTGAGGTCTGCAGCGTTTTCAAATCTTGGAGATTGCCTTTTCCAGACAAGCCGTTCACTTTCCAAAAAGTTTGTTTGAGGATCTTTTGCATGCGAAAATCTTCCTCATCTCATTTCAGTTTCATTTCTCATTCCCCAATTCCATTTCCAACGTATTCACCAGCCGGTGAGATCGTTCGAGAAAGAATGAAACTGCTAGACTGATGATCTCCGTTCAACACTTTCAACACCGGCCACACTTTCAACACTGGCAACACTTTCAACACTTTCAACACCGGCAACACTTTCAACACCGGCAACACGGGCGAAGTATGGCCAAAGCCTAAAGTGACCGAAAAACTCAAGATGGGTTTTGAAGAAACCAGTCTTTTGATTATTTTTTTCTCGATTATAAGGCTCTTCAGATAAGTCCGCCCTACAGATGAGTCCGTTTTCTTTCCATTATAGCTACCCTGAACAGGTAAGTCTGTTTTATTTTCATTATAGCTACCCAGAGATCTTGTCAGATAGGTCCAAAGACTGTCAGAAAGTCCAGCTTATCTGCAGATGGACTTACCTGATGGGAGGCCTTAGTTGTGAGGTTTCAGGATAACTAGAATTCTGGTATCGCTAGCTCAAAAAGCCCTTTCCCCGATGCATCGCGACTATGACCAAGAAAAATAATGCTACTCCAAAATGAATATGCTATTTCCCCCCACAAACGCTGCAAATAACTTAGCGAATTCACAATTTCACGTTGCATTAGTTACTGTGGAATGATAGCTAAATTTCGGAAGGGACATATCGGAACGCGTAGTTGCACACACTTTGAAATTCCAAGCTTAGAAACTAGGAGAACACTATGAGCCTAACTTCTGGAAAACTGCGGCTTCCCATCAGAAACAGTTGAATCAAGCAAGAAGTGGCTTCATGCAGGTTGGTCAAAGCACTTTGCCTGCTCCTTTTTGTAGACTTCAAAGCAGCTGAAGTTCTGGGGTTGTGACAAACGATAACGTAGGCCCGTCGAACATTTCCCCGCGTAAGCTGACTCATTCTGTTATGATTTAAAACTCACCAAATTCGCAAAATTCGCTTGCGAGGACCAAAACTGCCTTATTTCGTAGCAACAAAAAAGCAGTATTAATAGTTCAAACGGTTTGTATTGTTTAGACTCAGTGAACAGCCATGTGATTCATTCGCAAGAAGCTCGTTCATCGCTATGATCCTCAAGGCCATGAAGTTGAAGCAAACATGAGAGGAGAAAGATATTAGACTGACAAGGGGACTGCGCTCAAAAACATAGCATGCCCACATTATGCTAACTTCTACTTGCAACAGCCAGCACATCAATCACTAATGAGCAAAAATTTCTAACATTACAACTTTCCGACCTCAAGGGTGGAAAATCACTTATAAAAAAAATCGATTGATTCGCTTGCCGCACGTGGTGAAAATTTCAGCCCACATTTAAATATGCATCTTATAAAACTGCCGCAAACGTTGATAGAACACTTACAGGGTTCTCGGCTCATCAGTTCCACCCATGTGAAATCCTTCTTTTTCCGCTACTTTCGAGTGAGTACGTGGATTGTACATTCCAGCCGTATCATTCTCATGCCCCATATGATTTGGGCCATATCCTGCGTAACCGCCGTACTGGAAGGTCTAAACAAAATTTTCCTTGAGCACTCCCTCGAAAACATACTGCTGCAACTTACCGACATCTCCGATGCTTAAAAAATGAAGGTTACCTGCAACCGAAACGGATCAATGGAAATGTGAAAATAATAAAACGACACACGTTAAAACGAAATAGAGGATGACGCAGGGTACAAAACGAGTGCGCAATGTCGATACGACAAGAAGCACGCGACGCAGCCGCTCGCCTCAAGAGAACCTGCGCATCTTGCTTGTTTGCCGCGATCGAGAGAAATTTGAAGTTACGAAGGAAAGATAAGCGCTTCTTCAATTCGACTGTTTACTATCTAGAAGTGGTGGGGTGATTACAAGACCGTAGACTGATGATCTTTGCTGCAGAAGAAAAATTCAGTTCGGTAAGAATTAGTACAAAATGTTTTGTAATTTGAGGGGCATACTTCGCGACTTCCAAGGTCTAACAATCGAGTTTGGCAATGATCATGACTTATAATAAAGGTCTTGGGCATAGTGCTCGCGATTTGCCCAACAAGAAAAGTGTTACGAGTCCACCGCATACCGATTATCTTGCTTCGGTTGTGGTAATTTTTCAACGCGACTAATCGCAACTAACTGTCACAACCAAAATGCAGGAAGATTGGCATGCAATGATTTTGTTACAGTTGTTTAGTCGGGGAAATTCGCGAGGAGGAAATAGAAATGGCGTGAACTATGTCCGAGGGCTGTGTCTGTCTGAATCTCCTTTCACGAATATCGTACAACAAATTCCAGCAAAACTCTTGTGCTAGAATTTCGGACAGGGCACCTATCAGCATGACAATATTACTTCTTCAGCTGTTCCGGCTGTTCTCAACATAACCCCAGCGTCAAGTCAATTGTTCGACTTGTCTGCTCACATATTCGAAGCCATTACCTCGCGTCAGATGGGTTTCGAGTTCTAGTTCATGTTTCCATCATCATCTTGGCAATATTGATTGCAGTCGAGAGCTATTAGGTTGGCACGAAAGTTCTTGCGTAATTCAAACAAAATTCAATAACTTTTCAAAGACTAAACCTAAATTCACAATCTTGCAGCTAAAAATATCAGTTGCCTTACGCTTCATGATGGATGTTTGAGCATAAGATTCCGTGAGCTGGACATCAAGAACGAAGCTCTCGAATATGGGGCTTCAAATTTTGCGATTTTGAGTTTGGTGCCAGAAAATCGCAGAGAGCCGCTAGCTAGCCGAAAAAAAATCTGTAGAATTTATTTACAGAACAAAAGTCTATATGTTACTTTGGAAGGCTTTGATCTTGCACTATGAAGCAAAAACAAAAAATTCGTGAAATATGTCATCTTGCTGAAAAAATCCCCTCATGTCCGCAGTTTTCAGGCGAAAACACTTCTTTACAATCGAGAAAACGTCGCAAGGCTCTAAATAGGCACTATGTCTAATTTCTGGTTGCAAACCATACCTTCGATAGTCCAGAGACAGGGCGTCAAAAGTGAAGGTTGTTTGAACATCTGACGTCATGAATAGTGAAGGTTGTTTAAAGAAGATCAGAGAAAAGAATATGACGTAAAACAGATAGAAAAAGCAAAACAAAGTGCTGAAAACCGGATAAAAACGCTGCAATGGGATTTGGAATCTTTCATTTGGCGGCTTTTCAATGTGCAAATTTCGCTTCAGGACCAGCAATTCGCAACACGGGGTTTTGATTTTTGATGCGTCCTTTAAATTTTTACCCCCGCATTGACGTTTCTGTTTCCTGGGACGTTGTCTGGATTGTTGCGCTTATTGTTCTGAGCAACAATCGCCCGAGCTGGAAAAAAATCGCTGCGAAAGCACTGAAACAGAACAAGGTAAAGAAAAACGCACTTTTTACGATTTTTCGCAAAAAGTTCCACCATAATCGAAGAGATAAGGGCTGGGTGGTTGTCTGCATTACGGACAGAAGCAAGATCTATAGAATGCACGAAAAAACCGCTTGAAAAGAGTTAAACTAGGAGAAAAACAAGAGATTTTCGAAAACAAAGTTTTTGCCGGATTTCTCGACCAAATCAAAAGATATGGTTTTGGGACGTTGTCAGCGTAAAAATAGAGATCAAGAGCTTCAAAATGATATATAGCTTGTTAAAATTGGGTTCGAAACAGCGAAGAAAAGGGTACCAGAGCCAAATGCCCCGCGCCCCGCGTTTGGGGTAGCGAGGTAGCGCGCAGCGTGCGGAGACGCAGACGAGCAGCGGAGACAGACCAGAGCCGACGGGGCATTTGGCTCTGGTAGTAGATCTCCGCGGTGTCTCAACGAAACCCTGCAACATTATATATCATTCTGATCGTCATAACACGGCGACGAGAACTGACAACGTCCCAAGCTTTGAAAATCACTCATTAACGAGGTAAACTGGCGTTTTCGTGCGCGACTCTCTGCGCAAATTCAAGCGCGGTTTCTCATTTTTATTTAACTCCAATAGCTTTTCTAAACTGCTGAAACTCGATTCTGATCAAAAAAGATGTTAACTGAGAAAGATTGTCCTGAATTTTGGTGAAAATTTCATAGAAACCTTCTTTTTAACGTAAAAAAGGCCATGAAAACGCAAATTCTCGGTTTCGCTGAGATAACTTAGAAATATTATCCCCTATAATTTCTTCATTAACATTCGTTCCGATGCAGTCAGGATAAAAGCATCCAGGGCGAAGCCCCGGATGACTTCTGTTTTTTTTTCAAGTGAAGGTTGTGTTCCCTCATAGCCCTCAAAGTGAAGGTTACCAGAGTACGTGGCTCTATGTATCGAGGGTATGTTGCAAACTGTGTTTCTGTGGAAAAATTAGAGCGATAAGGGGATTTGTCCTGTGAAATGAGAAATTTCACAAAAAATTTTTTTTCGCATTTCTATGCGAGATGATGATGGAAACATGAACTAGAAATCGAAACCCATCTGACGCGAGGTAATGGCTTCAAATATGTGAGCAGACAAGTCGAACAATTGACTTGACGCTGGGGTTATGTTGAGAACAGCCGGAACAGCTGAAGAAGTAATATTGTCATGCTGATAGGTGCCCTGTCCGAAATTCTAGCACAAGAGTTTTGCTGGAATTTGTTGTACGATATTCGTGAAAGGAGATTCAGACAGACACAGCCCTCGGACATAGTTCACGCCATTTCTATTTCCTCCTCGCGAATTTCCCCGACTAAACAACTGTAACAAAATCATTGCATGCCAATCTTCCTGCATTTTGGTTGTGACAGTTAGTTGCGATTAGTCGCGTTGAAAAATTTGCTGTAAACACAAACACATTGTGATTCCCTCAAAAAAAACGAAAATATGGATTTCTTTCAGTCTTGGCAAACATTTCTATGATTGGCTTCCACCTCCTTGTTTTGATGAAGTCACACGACACAACATCTCAATTTCTGGAAAATATTAGGTTGGCACGAAAGTTCTTGCGTAATTCAAACAAAATTCAATAACTTCTCAAAGACTGAACCTAAATTCACAATCTTGTATGCTAAAAATATTAGTTGCCTTACGCTCCATGATGGAAATTCATGCACAACATTCCATGAGCTAGCCATCGAGAACGAAGCTCTCGAATATGGGGCTTCAAATTTCGCGATTTTGAGTTTGGTGCCAGAAAATCGCAGAGGGCCGCTAGCTAGCCGAAAAAAAATCTGTAGAAGTTACTTACACAGCAAAAGTCTATACGTTATTCTAGCAGGCTTTGATCTCGCATGGAAATGCGAAAAAAAATTTTTTGTGAAATTTCTCATTTCACAGGACAAATCCCCTTATCGCTCTAATTTTTCCACAGAAACACAGTTTGCAACCAGAAATTAGACATAGTGCCTATTTAGAGCCTTGCGACGTTTTCTCGATTGTAAAGAAGTGTTTTCGCCTGAAAACTGCGGACATGAGGGGATTTTTTCAGCAAGATGACATATTTCACGAATTTTTTGTTTTTGCTTCATAGTGAAATTCAAGATCAATTCTTCAAGATCAAAGCCTTCCAAAGTAACATATAGACTTTTGTTCTGTAAATAAATTCTACAGATTTTTTTTCGGCTAGCTAGCGGCTCTCTGCGATTTTCTCGGCTGCCCGGGTACCACTCGCACGCCTCCCTGTCTGAAGGAACAAGGCCGATGAAAATCCGCATAAGTGTTTTACGAGCTTTTCGCTCATTTTAAGCCACTCAATGCTTTGCACATTTGAACATGTAAAAGTTCGTAATTTCCTCCGGAGAATAGTTTCGCAGAAAACAGCATAGTTGGAATGAGCGTTTAGAGACGTGTTAGTGATATACCGTCTGCGCCCCAGAGATGTCCCCATGTAAACCAGCGTGCGTACGTGGTGCGACACTGCCTTTCGCTCTTTTTGACACGTTTCTCCTGAGATTTCAACGGAAGTGCCCGAAGTTAACACGTTCAAAAGTGCGAAAGGCAGCGAGATGGTACCTATGGGAACCTCTCTGGGGCGCAGACGATACATATCCTCTTCAATCGTCAACTCCTTTGGTATTCTTCTATTATTAGATCAAAAATGATTTGGAGTTCTTTCACTTGCGTTTTAACATGTTTTTGAGGTTCTTGATAAGGATATGGAGAGAAGAGATACTGGGAAATATGTTAGGGTACCCATCCATTGATTGCTCCTACTGCTCCTCTATTCATCGCCCGGAGTTGTGCGCACTGACAAAAACGTCTAGCGATTTTTTGTAAATGACAATGTGCAGATACTTGATTAGGGCGTGTGAATTCGTTAGCTTGCGCGCAAATAATTGTATAGATGTTTCCGGCTCTGGAATCCTAGAAGCATCACAATGCACCGTAAAGATCTGAATTCATTTCGCTCTTTGTTGCATGGAGATTATTATTGCTGCACGCTTTCTTGATTATAGGCTGCATTCTTATCTTGTCAAGCTGCGGTCTTCATAAGTACGGATGTGCAAAGAACGGTAATCGCACGAAGAAGTCAATTCTGGAAAAAGATTGATGCATAAGTCATCTCTCGGGAATAATCGAATTTGAGTAGCATACACGTGCGGAGCTAGTATCCTCTCATTTAGTGATAACACCGAAAGGATTGCG